TAAATGGTATACAGGTGCACTAATAACTTCCTTTTATTGCATCATTCATTGAAAACATGCTTGTTTCTATGTGCTGGAAATCTGTAATTGTGTTTTGTTTTAATTCAAAATGACTGATGAGAAGTTAATAAATTTAATTTGGAAGTAACCAATTATTTACAACATTCCATACATATACATTAGGCCATCACCAGGAAAGAAAATGTGTGAAATGCTAAATGGAAAAAGAAAAAATCTTAAGTAATAACACTTCTAAACCTAATGGGAAGACAAAATTTACTTTTGCTTGTAAAAAGCAGAAGTAAACTTAATTCCTGAAATTAACTAAATCTATTGAAAAGCAAATGCTATTAAGTTTTTATTTTAATTTTTAAGTAATAACTGGGTCACTTACTGTTAGGAAATAGCAGAATCTGCATAATCACTGTACAACTTGTCATACTTTTAATAACTGACTGATAACATTAAGCAGAATAAGTAAAGCTAAAATTAGTGAAAATTTTGGTTTTATTGACACCTATATTAAATATTAGCATTTGAATGACACTGTTACAGAAAGATCTTACAAATAGGATGGATGTAGAAAGTACCAAACAAAAAACTTTATAATAGGATATATGAAAAAGAATCTCTTAAAAAAAATTATACAACAAATACTTCAACCATTTGGACACACAAGAATAAATGAAAACAGAAAAATTAAGATTCTAGTCTATGGTATTATGGGTGGATCTAACAAGAGGTAGACCATATAGAGAATCGATTGATTCTCTATATCAGTGTTTTTCAACCTTCTTGAATACGCAACCCCTTTACAAGTTAAAAAATTCTGGCGACCCCCCCTAGGGCCATATTAAAACTATATCAGTGATCTTAAAAACTATGCATTTAATTTTCTTTCTGTTGAGACAAATTATTGTTGATTAAAATGAAAATTTCAGAAGAATCGACAATAATTTAACACACAAAGTATGAAACTTCCTTTAATTATAATATTAGGCACAGGGAACTGTTGACCTTTTTTCTTTTTCTTTTTTCTTAGAATCTGAATTTTTAGCTTTTACTTTTCTACTTTTTATTTCCTTTTGCAAATCAGCTCAACACTTTTTCCGCTATCATTTTCTGGGGTGGGCCGTAATTCTCGCTGACATTGTAGTTTTTTTAATGTAGTGTAGGACCTACAAACACTTGTCTTTTTCTTCTACCCACGACCCCCAGGTTGAAAAACACTGCTCTATATGGTCTGCCTCTATATGTGAAGTGGTGTGGAGCGAAAGTACAGGAATTGAGAAAATTGGCAATGGATAGAGAGAAATGGAAAAACATAGTGGAAAAGGCATCAGACACCAATGGGCAATGAGCCCAGGGTTGATGATGATGATGATGTTAAATGAACATGTTAAAACAATTAAAAAAAATACACAATTTGAAGATTTATTGGCTTTAATTATTATTACAGTAGAGTGTCGTTTATCCAAAAGCTGATCAACCAAAAGAGTTCCAGTTGGACTGTGTTGTGCTGAATCAAACATTTTTGACACTAGATTAACTTCCACAAAATAATTTTTGTTTTTATATTTTTCAATATATTTATTTTCTTTGTACAAAATAAAGAAATAATTTTTAACAATACAATAGCCACGATTATTATTTTAAAATTTTATGTTAGGCTTAACATCTACAAAAATTCAATGTGAAGCAACACTCAATGGAAAAAAATTTCAACATTGGATAGGTTAATATATTTTTTCGTACATAATCAGTTATCTGAACAACCCCAGTCTCCAATTAATTTGGATAAACAACGTTCTACTGTATTTAACAATAACACAGGTCTACAGTGCAAAAACTGATTTTTTTATGTGATCATTATATGCTTTTTTTATGCTGAATTCAAAATTATTATTAGTTTTCTCTATCACGTAAGGTTTCTACAAAACCACTTTTTTTTGGCTAAATTGATGCTTTCTTCACATATTTTATGCCTATATTAGTGACATATTCACACCCACATACTGTGCATCTGGAGAAAACATAAGAAAACCTGGAAACTGTTCTAAAAAAGATAGTTATGATATACACCAGTGGCTTATCTGTGGAGATTTGAAAGTACTGTGCATGCATGTTATTAGGTCAGCAGTCAGGTAATACCAAGTTTCCATGTTTTCTCTGTGAATGGGGCAGTAGAGCCAGGAATTGGGTTCAGAAGTAATGGCCACCTAGAAAACAATTACAATCTGGCATAAAAAATATTGTGAAAAGCAGCTTGGTGAACCCAGAGAAAGTGCTGCTGCCATCTCTGCATATTAAATTAAGCTGGGACTAATGAAATAGTTCATAAAGGCTTTACCAAAGAATGGAGACTGCTTTTTGCATAAATAGCCTTGTCCAAAGCAAAACTAAAAGGTATATTTACAGGACCTGATAAGGAAATTAATATCAGATAGAACTTTTCTGCAATGAATGAAAAAGAACAGGATGCCTGGATTGCATTTAAGGCAATAGTTCAAAGTTTCTAGGAAACAATAAAGATCCCAATTATAAAGAAATAGTAGAGAACTTGTTAATTAAGTACTATAAACTGGGCTGCAATATGAACCTCAAGGCACACTTTCTGAACCTCACACTTGAAGTACTTTCCTGAAAATCTAGGGACTGTAAGTGAAAAACAAGGTGTGTTCTTTTATTCCTCCATGTAACTCTGCGCAAGCGACATCTGTTTAAAAATTCCGTGGAACACGTACTTAAATTCTGGTCGAAGTGCACGCTGTCATACAGCAAAACAGCCACTTGTAGCAGTAGTTTATGGTGGAAAGCAACATGGCATCCTCCATGGCTCAGATAGTTTCGGTTCAGGTTCCATTATCTGGTTTTATAATGAAAATTTAGAAGTTGTGAAAGCGCAAGTTAGTGCACGCGGTGATGTAAATGTCTTTTTGAATTTTTTCGAATGATAGCTGGCATTCTATTTTTTTTTTTGGTTGCTATTTTAAATGCTCTTTCAACAAATAATCCATTTTATGATTAAATTTTACAATTCGGACCCTTCTTTTGCCTTTAAAAGCTCATATTTTAGAATTATAGATTCCTCTATCATGATACTATCGATAGTGTGGGCGCTGCCATCTTTCTTTCTTTCACCATCATTCCTCAATGCCTACAAACGGCAGCACACTCCTGTAGTAACAAAGATGCAGAGTGACCGCTATTAATGAACACACCCAGGGTGAAAGATTCCATCAAAACAATAAGGAAATGGAAAGTCAGTAATGATGGCAGATTACTGTTGGATTATGCATAGGGACATTCCACATACAGAACACAAGAGAAGGCCCATGAAACAGTTTTAGGGCAAAAAAAATCATAACTGATAAGCAACAAAGCTAATTAGTGGCTTATTTGGGTACAAAAATACAACATATGTTAATAATAAACTAAAATTGGTAATCTTTTCTGCATTAAAATAAATTAAAACACTATTATACATATGTATATAGTATGCTTTACAAAGTCTTATCAAAAATTTATAAAAATCTTTGTATCAAAATGTTACTTGATGAAAACATTTAAGAGACTTTTAGTTAGTAAAAATCACATCTCAGAGTCCAAACAGTATTTTATTAGTTGAAATTTGCAGACTTGTATAATTCATTACCACTTATTCCATACATTACTGAATTGAGAAATGCCATCAATTTTTACTATTTTTTCAGAAGCAAACTATTAAAACAAATATTTAAAACACTGGTAAAAACTGATAAAAATTAAGCATTTTCAACTAAACATTAACACTAATAACGTACAAAATCCTATTTACTCAAAAATAATGACAACCACAGTCAGCACTATTACAGTAACCAAGGTATTATAAATGTATTGTAACTCATTTTGGGATGTGCTACTTCCAACATTAGATAATTAGTAATAATATATACAAGTACAATAAGCTATTGTGCATATGACTATTTTTCTGCAATGCTATTCTTTTAATTTATTTCATATTAGAAAATTTTTGCAATAATATTTTTATTCAAAAATATAGATTTTTGTAAAATTATAGTATAACTGATACCTTTTAGTCATTTACCAATTTACTTTAATTAAAAAAAATTTAGATGATCCCTTTTCAATTTTTTTCTCTTATAAATTAAGATCAAGATCTATTTTATAAAATTAAGAATTTTCAATTCTTTTGAAACAAAAACAATATTTATAATAATCTGCATAACTTTATAATGAAATGCTTCAGAAATAAACAAAATAGACTTCACTTCTAACTAATCACTATTCTTCCAAACATGACAAGTTATTAATTCCACCAAACAATTTCAGTAAAAAAATAAGGACAAATGCATTAATTTCCAACTACAGCACAGATCATTAAACCCGTATTCCCACACGCTTACAACAAACTCCCGACTTCTTTTCTCCCATAATAAAAAAGCTTCGACGCCTCCGTCAGCATTCAAAGAACAATAAGCAGAGCGGACAAGCAAAAGTACAGAACGGGACAGTTCTCGGTCCGAAACTCCAAGGAAATTTATTTAAGGCGTGCAGCACGGTTGCATAAAAACAATAAATAATAATAAATTACATTTTGATATTTCATTCAATTACTGCTATAATTCATATACTACAGCTTCAATAAATTTGCCAAATATTTATTAGGAGTTAAACTAAACAACTATTAAAAAAATAATGGCAAATTATTATATATTTTATTATTTTTTTAATTAATTACAATTGAATATTACCTTCAGAGCATTGATAAATGGTCAAAATGACCTTAAAAACAGCAAAATAAACACAAATTACGCATCCAAGTTATAAAAAATTATATTTTATTTGTGAATTATATTAAACTGCGACGTATACGAATCCATTTTAATTACAATTATAGATTAATTTATTAATTATTTGAAGTTTAAATTAAAGAGAGGAAGAGGAGAAAATTCAAATGAAAGCGGGAGATAGCGAACAAAAGAATGAATTAGGCCTACCTGCAATCCTGCCCTTGCCGATCTGGATATGGCTTTAGCTTTGGATTTACCCGAATCTTTGCCTGCTTTACCGCCAGCCTAGACATAATATTAATTATTTAGCATATTCTTAACGTATACGCCATCCAAATAACGTTTAACTTACCATCTTTATATTGAATGAATATTCCGAACGAGGTATGAAAAGAACCAAGCGCGCCTTTACTAACGAACAACGATTTGATTGGTCTTCGTCAGGTTGCCAGACGATTCGAATTTTTCAAATATTCTATCTATTTATTTATTATTTTAATTAGTAAATATTAATTAAATATAAACATTTTTAAATACCGCATTATACGTAATAATCGTAATAGAATTTAAATCGATTAAAAATTTTAGTGTTGATGATTTTTTGAAATAAAATGTTCTTGCTTTGTTCGGCGTCAAATTAGTGTAACTTTTCCCGCCAAATTTCGTAGTCTTCAAACGACCTTGGCTAATGAATTTTATTATCCGTTGATGTTATTTTATAAAATATTTATTAGTTTTCTTATTCATCTTTACGAATCCCAGGTACTGTCGGATGGCCGGATGGTAGCTTGCCGCTCTGCGGGCCCGGGACTAAATTCGAAAGGGTAGGAAAACACCAGGAAATTTTTTGGGGTTGTTCGTCCGGATACATCGGTCTCCCTCTCTCACCACCTGGCCTCTCTATTGTGGGCCTAGCCGAACCCATAAGGGGCTTGCTGAAGAAACCTTTATTTAACGTCTAGAGGGAGGAAGTAGTTTAAAAAAATCATTTATTTTTTATTAATGTTTTTGTAACTTTTTCGTATATAAACTTGTAACTACCCGCAATAACGATCTGGCTTTTTCCAATAATCTTTTTATATATTCAGTAAATAATTTTAAATCTCATAGCGAAATAAAACTTATTTTTTTCTTTTTTCGATTTTTCCGATACAGTTATTATCTTGAATCTAAACTTCTATTACCTTATGTTTCAAATAACTTATTTCCCACCTTCGAAAAATGCAAAAATTTCTTGAATCAATAGCGTAAATTAAGAGGAATCATTCATTACTTAAATCCAAAAGAAACTTTCTGAAGCATTCCATAATATTTTAAAAATCTCTTTTATCATGTGGGCACTAAGAGGGCCTTTTTTCTGTACACATCGTTAGCTTGTCAAGGCTCACAATAAGAGTAACCGAAATTTTTTAAATTAAAAACTCTTTTTGCCCTGTGGCGTTAAGAGGGCCTCTTTTAAACAAGCCTAGTATGGATTCGACCAGGCCCACAATGGGGGCGACCGGATGGTGAGGGACGGAACCCGACATATTAGAACAGACCATTCTGAAATGAGAATTCCAGGATTCTATCCAGGGTCCCCCAGAGCAGTAGGAAGTCACCTTAACCGCTCGGCCAAATAGCTAACTGGATGGTAAGGTACTGGGCTCGACTTATCCGGTATCGTAAAAAATTTATCATATTTTTCAACCTCGCGGATTCGATACTGGATGCTCTACTACGTTAACTCGGTACCTTAAATCGTTCTATCAGGACCTGTCGAATCATTTTAGAACGGAAATAAAAGAAAAGAGAATTTCATCACTCATCCTGGAGAAAGACTGATAGAAGTTATTTCTACTTCCAGATCTCAACAACAATCCAACTCTGATGAATTTGTTCCCGGAACTTTTTTAATTTTCTTTTTAAGTGTTAAATACGTGAAAAATATCCGAAAAACTCCATGTGGTCAGCCGAACCCACGAACAAGTGTTTGGTGGTTGTATCCACGACTGACTTTATTAATTAAAGAGAGATACAAGGTAAAAGTGAAATGCTCTTCTGTAAAAGCCAATGAATTTATTTGAAAATGGTTTGTTCGTGCTAGAATGAATTATGCTCTTATTCAAGACTTATTGATTCAACTTGCAGAACGCTGAGGTTTGAGCACATTTATTTCAACACACAATATTTCATCATTCAATATTTAGAAAAAATGGAATGGAGAACAAGATAGCCTGAAATAATCATTGCCTACACAATAAAAGATAACTTCATTTGTGACGAAAGTAAACTTTTTTTTTGGAGTTCTCCTGATAAAATTCTGTCAATTTACGCAAAGGTGGAAAAAACCGATAAAGGATGTTTGATTGTTTTGTTATGCTATAGTGCAATTGGAGAGAAATTTAAACCGCTATAATACAGTTAGATAAGCAAGCCATTGACAAAGCCTGTTTTAAATGAAATCAGCTTTGTTATTGGCTTGCTTCTCAAACTATATTAAAATGTCGCTTTACTTTCATTGTCATTGACCTAATGTTCCGAACAGTAAATTCCAAAAATATAACATATAAAAAATTTATTTAATGTAATTTTATGCTAAATAAATTCTGTTATTTTTTTCATCTAAAAGATATCTCTCAATAAATTTAATTTAAAAACGGGAAGATGGCCTGGAGGTCCATGAACGTATCCGGTCGGATTGAAAACCCCCGGGAATTTTTTGAGGATCGGTCCGTTTCCAATATGTCGGGCATTGTCCCTCACAACCCAGCCGTTCCAGTGTAGAACTGTGAGAATCTATAAAGGATTTGCTAAAAAACGCCTTTTTAGTTCTCACAGGGGAGAAAGAGGGAAGAAAGCAATATAATAATAATTAAATCATAGTTTGGTATAGATATAAAACTAGTTCGAATGCTATACAAATATAAATCTAAAAGATTAAAATATTTTATTGATAAAAATAACTTTTATAAATTAAAAATTATATAAAAAGAATAAAATATTTATTTTTAGTCACTATTATACTATTAGCGCCATTACTTCGTAGTGAGAGTTATAAGAAATAAATTATCGTCTGCTTACGAAAGAAGAAAAAATAAATGAAAAATAATAAACCAGATTCAATGCGTTTGCATATACGTATCATAAATATACATACAGTATTTAAATAAATAATTTTATAAAATAAGATTGAAATTCTGTAATTACACAAATGAACAAAGCAACACGTGACAGAATGTTTTCTTACGTGTCTCTTACGTAATAGTAGTCTGTCACGCAGCGATTGGTTAAATTTGATATAATCTCCGCCGCAGAAGTTATTGGGTGTTAATGGCGGTAATAGTGATAGAAGTCGTCTGGCTTAAATGCGAAGTTTACAGAAGATATTTTAGCTTATTAATTAAATGAGAACAGAGATGTAAGTAATTTTATTTAAGGGTTAATTTTAAAAATAAACATTAAGTAGAAGTGAGAATAATATTAACGAAAAAAATTAGAATTTTACGTAAATTAGGAATATTTTTGTATTTTTAAATAAAGTAAGTTATAATACGTTAGTAATGTTGAATAAGCTCCCTTTTTTTGTTTACGTAATTACGAATTCTGCGTAAATAAAATGAGAGTTGTCATAAACGTCCTCGTCGAAACCGAAACTTGTGTCTATCACGTGACCGAGGTGGCCCGTCTCGCGGTTTCGGTTTTGTTTTCCCTGTACGTAAAACTCCTTCGGTTTCGATTTTCAGATGCTTTTGTTTTACGTTATTATTAATAAAAACAACTTAACTTTATAGCTGTGATGTCCGAAACCCTCCACTAGTTGGAAAAAAAGGAAAGTTTTTATACAGAAATCTTTTTGTTGAACAAACCATTGCATAAGAAAAGGGAAATGCTCTGGGATTCTGTTTAAATGTGATTTTATGCCTGACAAAGTTTTGAATAATTAAGCAAAAGTGCTTATGCAATTTTTGCAAGATAAGTTTTAGATGTTAAGTTTTTGATTACTATTTTTATGCCTTTTTAATTCTACGTGTGGTTAATGTTATTTTTGTTTAAAAGACAATTTGTATGGTGATGTGGATTATGTGATGGGATGATCGATACGCTGATTTTAAATTGCAAATTACAAATTCTCGTCTATCGACAGATGCTCCCACAGACTTAGATATGCATTAGAGAAGATTACACAAAAGATTTTTTGTTACAGTTTTCTGTGCGTTATGTGCCATTGCACGTTAAGTGCTATCAGAGATCACTAAAAATCACACCTTTTTAAAAAATTCTCTTTTGAATTTAATCAAATAACATTTTTGACCAGCTTCACTGACCTTCTTCAGTTATGATAGAACAGAAAAATAGAATTGTGAGGACCACCACTTCCCCCCTCCAAAAATATCTATATATATTTGTAAACGGTTATTTATAATAATTTTTTGTTTATTTACTTGTATCTTTTTTTATTATGTATTTGTGTAAACCTTAACCAAAGTGGTAAGAGAAAATTCGCCTATTTTACCAATCTAGGGACTCCCCTTTTCCAAATTTAAAATCTACTTAAATTAATTAGAATAAAACAGTTTATTAATAAACTATCAGAAATCTCACAACATGCCAAAGAAAAGAGGAAAGAACAATTTAAATAATAAAAAACATATATAGAAATGGGGAACATTGCACTCCCTCCTTTGTTTTCGGCAATGTTTACATAAAGAACTTAGTCAAAGCAAGCAATGAACAAACTATGACTAAGAACAAAGATATATCATGTCAACTTAGAGATGACACTAAGAAAGCTGCACATCATCCCCAAATAAAAAAACACTGTCTCAGCTACAATGATGACACTGCCAATGAGTCATCACCCGATGATGAACTTTCTCATGTTGAAAGGGTTTAAAAGGAGAGCCCCAGTCAGAAAAAGTGCAGTCAGAGAGGAGGACAGCAGTTGGAGGCAGTGCGGTAAGAGAGGAGATACAGTGCAGTTAGAGACAGTTCAGTCAGAGAGGAGGACACAGTCCAGTTAGAGAGGGACAGTGAGACAGTCAGAGATGGGGACACAGACCAATTAAAAAGAGACAGTGAGATGGTCAGCAGTTGGAGAGACAGCTCCAGCCAGAGAAAGACAGTAGAGTTGCTGATGCAGTCACAGACAGATAGACAGAGAGCAAGAGAGAAAGACAGAGAACCAGAGTGCGAGACCAGACGAGCACCAGAGCAAGAGTGGTTCCAGAGAGGACGACTCCAAAAACGAGCAAACACGAGACGAAGTGCAGTGAACACCAGAAACCTCTGTCTTAGCCGTCAAGACCACGTCACAAGAGAAGACATCTTGTTTATCTGGTATGTTGTGAGTCGCGTAAGTTCGAATACCCCCGTTAGGCACCCCCTCGTTATATAGATAAAAATAGGCAAATTTCCAAAGTTGGCTTTTATAATTCTGTTCTGAACTTTCGTTTATGTTAATAAATGCCCTTAAATTGGTT